TTAGGGGATTTTCCAAGCTATCGCTTGTCAAAATTGAACCTAATATCAGAGGTAAGGGTGATCAATCCTTGGCCTTAGCATTCATTGATAACTAGATTGAGAACTATATTTTAAACACCCTAATAATGGTTCTATTCAATGCATGAGTCAACCTTAATGAGAAACCCTAAATCTAACAAGAAAGACTACTCAAGTGGAGAAAGAAGAAATTTTTCACCTAGCTCGCGGTACGGCGAGCTAGTCTTGGTCGAACTAGCTCGCGGTTTATGGCGGTTGCGGTTTTTCGCGGTTTTGTGCTAAACTCGGACGATCGTGTAATCGGCGTTTGTTTCGTTCTTCCGAGAGAACGATTTCCAAGTCTTTCCGCGGATTCCTTTTGTTTGGAAACTTCTTTTATAAAACGATTTCTCGAGTTTTATAAAACGGTTTCTCGAGTTTTATAAAACAGTTTCTCGAGTTTTATAAAACGATCTCTCGAGTTTTATAAAACGATTTCTCGAGTTTTATAAAACGATTTCTCAAGTTTTATAAACGATTTCTCGAGTTTATAAAACGATTTCTCGAGTTTTATAAAACGATTTCTCGAGTTTTATAAAATGATTTCTCGAGTTTTATAAAACATATATTTTTATCTTTTTGCGGAAAGTTTTGGCTATTGATTCCGTCGTACCGATTTTGACCCAAACAGTATGATACGGACGCAAGTTCAAGAAAGGAAATATGATATTCCCAAATCAGCGCAAATGGCTAGGGTTTCTTCGATCCTCCAAGACACACTAGATCACGACTCCGAGCAATCGACTCCAAGAGGCTCAGGCCCCAAAGATATCTACTGGCCACCATTTTACCAAGGGGAATATGACTTACTCCAGGCGCTAAATACGGTCCCGGCCTAGCCAGAACCTGGAGAATAGGGTGCCTAGAGCGATGCCTTACTTAAGGGGAATCTGCTGAGATAAAGCGACTACGGTCCACCTAGACACCCTTTATCCCTTGATTCCATTGATGAAATCAAGGATAAGGGGAAAACTGTTGGGAAAAAATATTCAGGCAACAGATTCCTCTAGCTTCCGGGTTGGGCACCGGCCTCTCGACCCCTGCTCTGAAGGGACCTAGGGCCCGGACCCTGCATCCAGGTTTTCCGGACCCGACCCCTGCTCCAAAAGCCGGCCCTTGGACAAAATGGAAATTCTCCACTTAAGGGGATTCTTCCATATTCGCCAATATGGAAGGGTTTAACCTAATTCAAGCCGACATATACACATATTAAAGGGAACCCAAACCCTATAATAAGGGATTGACACGTAGAGATTGAGAGACTAGATCTAGGCGGCTAGAATTAGGGTTCATACACCAAACATTGTAGCCCCCCTTCGATTAATCAATAATACGACTCCTTCTCTACTTGTTTCTTATTGTTTCTCTTTGATTTCTCCTTGCCTCATACAAATATCCTCGCTTCCTCTTTGTTCGTACGCAAACATTCAGTGTTCTGTAGTACTAAAACGACCCTACACAAAAATACCATAACATAACCTAGGTTTTTTCCACGAGTAACCTAGGGTTTATTCCGCGAGTAACCTAGGGTTTATTCCGCGGTTACTGGGAGAGCAAGTTTTATTTTTCTGAAAAGTTCTTGGAAAACATCTTTTGGCCATCCCATACGTAATGAGATTTGTCCAACTCGGAAATAAGAGAAACATTACGGGGTTTGATAGATTTTATCGTTGCCCTTACTGATCAGAGAGATAAATCGCGAGCTTGTTTTGTTTCTGCTGCCGTGGCGTAAAGTCGCGATTAGGTTTTCGATTTTGTTCAATACTACAGCATTTGCGTGAGAGTTGGCTATAGGAGTAGTCGATGCTGGAGTTGTTTTACCAGCGTTTTTGCGAGCTGTGACTTTTTCTTTCATATATCCAGACATCGTTTTGATCAAGCGTTTTGCGGCTATGAGTTAGAGTAATCCTACCCCCCCTCCTTCTAGCGCTAAACTGTGGGAACCGAAACTCGCACTGTCGATTTCCGTAAAATAAGGAAACTTAGGAAAACCCTAATTTTCCAGAGGACCCGGATCTCTGCAAGAGCCAACGAAAAGTAACCAAATAAATGCAGAAAATATGAAAAACATGATAAAACGAATTTATAAATAGATCTCATTTTGAATTCGCGTAAGGGCGTTGCGATCATTACAAGAGATTATAAAGGCTTTGGCCGCAGGGCCGTCAGCGAGTTACCTAATTCTAGCAACATAAAACCTTAAACCAAGTTGAGTCGCAGCTCGATAACAAAAGACGAAAAAGATAAGAAAAAAGATTTTGTTGATTTCGGACTGAACCTTATGAAAGGCTGCCTAACATAGTTCAACTGATAGAGCTGGACAAGAGATCGAACTACCTGGGAGAGTTTATCTAGTAATTGAGTGCCACTGATAGAAACTGAAGTTGTCAAGAATGAAGCCTAAGTTTCTAAGTGCAGAGAGTTCTAAGTCTAGAAAAGTTGTAAAAGTTCTGAGATGAGAGCTCTAAAAATCGTCCCCTTTCTTTTTTCCTGGACCTTCTGCTTATATACTCCTTCTCTAGGCGGTTGGTCTTTCCTTTTCCGCTCCGATTCGTGCTTATCGGAAATCTTCCATTTATCTCGATCTTTCCATTTTTCTTCCGAAAACTTCTATTTTCGTCTTCAAACTTGACATTTACCCATTCATGTGAATAATGATTAAATCGTCATCATATCTTTGGGCTGGATCTTGTCTAAAGTCGTGAGTGGGCCTTTATCGCGTTTTAGGACTTTCCGAGCCATTTTGCGATTAGCTGTTTTACGAATTTAGATGAGATCGTTTCCTGATACGATGCCGTTTTTGTAAAACATCTCGAGTTAATCGTATAGTTTGGCAATGTTCGGTGTTTTGTTTAGCTGTTGCCGTTTATATGATTTACTCGAGGTTTTACGAGAAAACAAGTCTTTAGCGGTTTTTTATAATATCTCGAGTTAATCGCATGGTTTGGCAATGTTTGGTGTTTTATTTAGCCGTTGCCCTTTTATACGATTTACTCGAGGTTTTATGAGAAAACAAGTGTTTTACGGTTTTTATCGTAAATCTCCGTTGGTAAGATGGATCGAGATGAAACGACCCGGTCTTGAAAACCGGTATAGTTCATAAAAAATAACTATCAGGGTTCGAATCCCTCTCTCTCCTTTTGTTGGATGAATCGATTTTTTTCTTTATTGGCTTTTTTACTTCTTAGCATCATAAAAAAGGAGAATGGCTCGGCTATATTATCCAGCCAAGCCAGAAAAAATGAGACTGAATTGAAAGAAAGAAGACTTTTTAATATGACCCGATTTTTACTTTCCTATTTTAACTACTACTTTAGTTAAGAGGAGCCATAGAAAGAACACTTCAGAGTACGATCGAGTCGAGGGGTATGGATGGTTTGGTTCAGCTTGCCAACATGTGAGCTGGTCAAGGATGGCCAGCTCGCATGTTGGCGAGCTGGACTGGTTGGTTCAGCTCGCCAACAGGCGAGCAGGTCGAGCATGGCCAGATCGCCAACAGGTGAGCTGGTTGAGCATGGTCAGCTCGCCTGTTGGCGAGCTGGACTTGTTGGTTTAGCTCGCCGATATGCGAGCTGGTTGAGCATGGCCAGCTCGCCTGTTGGTTGGTTCAGCTCGCCAACAGGCGAGCTGGTCGGTTGTTCGGTTTCGATCGTTTTCTCGTTTTTTCGACCCGAGATCCTCTCGGAGAATATAAGGAGAAATAATCGTAGACGTTGATCTCAAGGTTATTATTTTCAACCTCAACAACAGCTTTTACCGTTTCGGGGAGTTTGGACGTTACTGCCATGTTTTGCTAATTTGGCCAATTTGGACAATCGCGGATTGTTTTATTCGATTTTCCAATGATTTCCAAGATGATGATTGTTAAGTTTACGAAATTCCTTTGTTCGGAAAATCCTTAGATTTCTTCTCGAAACTTTTTCTTATTTCTAAAACTTATTCTTAACTTTGCGGAAAGTTTTGGTCGTTGATTCTGTCATAACCAATTTTGACCACAACAAGGTTTTTTTAACTATTTCATACTTTGATATGAGTTTCCGTAATTTCGTATCTTCGTAGAACGTCTACAGTTTCTTGTATGCTTTTCTGGGACTTTTAGCCATTAATTCCGTCGTGACCGATTTTGACCCCAACATTTGGTTAGACATATATAGCGTAAATTTGGACGTGATGAAGACAACAACTGAGCTCGGAGGATTCTTTCAAATTATTCTCGTTTATCTGATTCATTTTTGTTTTTTTTGTTTTAGAATCTATGTTTAAATATTTTTTATGTTTTATTTAATAAATAAATGTTATCTTTAAAAAATAATATATATTTTTTAAAAATTCCCAAAATAAGAACCTCCCATTAGAGCACAAAAATGTTTGGGATTCTTAACATTGCATCTTAAATCACTTTTACAACTTAAAATTATTAAAAGAAAAAAAAAAGAATAAACACCCCTAATTAGGGTTTAGGGTTTAGGGTTTAGGGTTTAGGGTTTAGGGTATAGTGACACCTGTGTGAATGTTAAGTGCTCATAAACTCAACACTGAGTGTTTTTTTCTTTCTTAGGCTTTATGTTTTTCTCAAACCACTCTTATATTCATCTTCCACTATATTATATGGTTTACTCTATAGTATATTCCCTTAGGTTCAATTTATATGTCGTTGTAAAGAAAATTTTTCGTTTCAAAACAAGTGTCGTTTTAAATTTATATGTAAAATTTATTGTCTTTATCTGTTATTCTATTTTTTATTGGTTGAAATGTGATTAGGTGTATAAGTAATGGTATTTTTGTCTAGAGAATATGTAAAATTAAAGGTTTTCTTAATTTATGTGTAAAAATCTAAAACGACAACTAAAGTGAAATGAGAGGAGTATGGTTTACCCTTTTAGTTTTAATATAATGTATTTTTCCAAGTAAAAAGATAAATGTAGAAGTATATATACCGTTGCAAGAATTTGACTCCAATGTATAGCAACCATATTTGAATCATCATCTCTAGTGATGTAGATTTAAATCACACTATATATGTCACACTTCTCGTAAAGCATACCAAAACATAAATTCTTGAATGTACTCAAGATTAGCTACTATTTCAAACATTGTTGATATTGGTACTGCTTGAACCAGGAATGCAAGCAACACCTTTCTTCTCTCTACTCAACAACTTCTTAAGTGATCTTAACCTTGTGAACACCGGCGACTTTGATTCTTCATCTTCTTCGATTCTCTCCGATAAGTTCTCACTTGAACTTACTGGAATATCCACCACAACCGCAGTGACTTCTTGNTATTTCAAACATTGTTGATATTGGTACTGCTTGAACCAGGAATGCAAGCAACACCTTTCTTCTCTCTACTCAACAACTTCTTAAGTGATCTTAACCTTGTGAACACCGGCGACTTTGATTCTTCATCTTCTTCGATTCTCTCCGATAAGTTCTCACTTGAACTTACTGGAATATCCACCACAACCGCAGTGACTTCTTGTGCTCTGTTACAATTATTAGTACTAGTAGCTTCATGTTGATGATCATGAGAACCAAGATCTTCGGTAACTACAAGACTTGCACCTCTAACTTGATTGTTATCTCCCCAAACTAGTACATTTGTCGGAAAATTCTGATGTTCTGTCGGAAACCCAAGAACATAGCTCTGATCTTGAGCATGCCCAGATTCAAAGTTTTGATTTTGAGACAACAAACCCTCACTTCCTCGATATCTTGTCTCTTCCACAGAACCAACCTTGTTTCTACAGAGAGGACAAGTAGAATGAGACTGAAACCACATGTCGATGCAATCAACATGGAACCCATGGTCACACCCCGGCAAAACCCTAGCTTTGTCCCCGTCAACGAGATGAGAGAGACAAACGGCGCATTCTAGCCCGTCTTTGAAGTCACAAGACTTGAAAACAAGGATCGGGATGGACTGGAGGGTCGTAGAGTCGAGACCGGTGTTGCGAGGAGGATCTTCTTGACCTTGAGCGAAGACGAAACGACGTCGTTGGTTGTTACGACCGATGACTGTGGAGCCAGGACTGCCGGGTTGGGTTAGGTTTAGGTTGAGATGTCGTTCTACACGCCACCAGAAGAGCCTAGCGTAGAGATGNAAACAAGGATCGGGATGGACTGGAGGGTCGTAGAGTCGAGACCGGTGTTGCGAGGAGGATCTTCTTGACCTTGAGCGAAGACGAAACGACGTCGTTGGTTGTTACGACCGATGACTGTGGAGCCAGGACTGCCGGGTTGGGTTAGGTTTAGGTTGAGATGTCGTTCTACACGCCACCAGAAGAGCCTAGCGTAGAGATGAAGCAAGAGGAGGAAAAGAATCGCTGTGAAAAGTGAGACGATTGCGAAGAGGATTACTTTTCCCATCATCTCTTCTCCTTCGAAGTTTCTGAAGATTGAACCATTAGATGCAGATTCTTCGTCCATGTCGTTGACAAATTGTGGTGAAACCCTAAAAACTCAAGACTTTTTTTTGCGTGGGAAGAAAGGAACACGAAAGATTATCACATCAAGACAAAGATCTTGAAGGTGTAAAGCTGTTAAGACCTGAAAGATCGATGATTTATTGAAAGTGGTGAAGCTTTATGATGTTGAAGTTTGGTTGGAGGTCCATTAAGTCTTTGAAACCATGACTCACGGCAAAATGGAGATGAGAATCAAAGACTGGTTCAAGATTTTGAAAAATGGTTGGGATACATGTCAGTGGAACACGCTTTCAGTTTATTGACTCGGTTTAGTCAATTTCCTGATCAAATCGTTAGTCAACATCAGTTTCTAAAAAATAAAAAAAGGTTTACTAGTCCAATACTATACATACGATTGAGTTATACATATAACTGGCACATTACAAACTGCTTCTCTCAAGCACGAGACCAATGCCAAAGAGCTAATCAAAAGATCTTGCATTACTACATTACTAAATTTTTCAAGGACAGAATTTACACAATTTTATTTGTTTGTCTGATAATATAATACTCTAAACAATGGAAAAGCTGTGGAGAATTCTTTTACTTACCTGAAACTCTAACATACAATTGAGTTTACAACCGGCACATCTCTCGAACTGGGAACAGCATGAGACCAAAAAATTTAAATCACTAATTGAACAATTGTATGTCAGCGTTTCAGGTAAGTAAAACAATGCTCCACAGCATGAGATTATTAGGTCGTTGGCATTGGTATCGTGCTTGAGAGAAAGCAGTTTGTAATGTGCCAATTGGGAACAGCATGAGATCAAAATTATAAATCACTAATTGAACAATATGATGACCCTTTCTCTGCTAAATAACAGCAACATTACCTCATGCCCCAGTTGATAGTAGTTGACTTGGTTTAGTCAATTTCCTCATCAGTCAATATCAGCTTTAAAAGTATAAAATGGTTTACTAATCAAAAACTCAACATACGTATCGAGTTATACATATACCAAGTGTACAACCTGGCATGCGACATTAGATCACTAATTATGTTCTTTGTTTCCCATGACATCATTCCACTGCTTAAGCCTAGTCAAGATACATAGACGTCTCTTCAATGTTAGTTGTTTATGTGTAATGATTGCTTCAATCCTTAGTTTTTGCTGCAGTAAATTTGGTAGCCACTATGGCTTTGTGTCATCTTTTGTAAACAACTCCTCTAATGGAGACTAGCTATCTATAAAATCTTGTTTGACTAAAAAAATACAATTGGTACATATCTCAAACTGGATACTGCTTCTCTCAAGCATAATGAAACCAAAGAAACCAAAACTTTGAACCTTTAACTGAACATTATGATGATTTTTTTTCTCTGCTAAATTGCTACAACAAGTTGATAAGACAAGTTTATGCTGTTTCTGTGACTTCTACGAGCCTCCCACGAACCCACTTTTTGGTTACATTTCCTGCCTCCGAAGACTCAGCCTTTTCCTCCATTCCGTGGTACTCGCTCATACCATTTGGAAGATGAGGACTCTCAGTAAGCTTGATAGCTCCATTAGACTCTGGTGGTGGATGGACTCTGTTTCCGTTTGGCTGTTTTGTAGTACCTTCAATGTTGAATGTGGGCAACTCGCTAGGCTTCATGTTCAAGTGAAGGCTCTCTCCGTTGATGGTGAAAGTGTATGTTCCGTTAACATGTCCTGGTTGTTCTTGATCAGTTGTGTCTTCGGTCTCGGATTCAGTGTCTAGATCAAGAAGACTATTACTAGGCTGAGGTGAAGTCTCATCCTCCCCTGAAGCTACCTGCCTCATTTCTATAGACTCAATCAGCTGTGTTGCTTCTGCTATGAGCTTTTTACTCTCTAACAAAGATGCTTGAGCAACAGAGCTTGTCCTAGCAGCAATCTCAAGTACTTTCGCAGCTTTCACAGCTTCCTTGATCAAATGCCTGAGCAGTAGAATCTTTGTTACAATTTCAAACAGAGATATGTTAACAGTTTTGTCTTAATGACTAACCTTGCTTGTTCCACAGCATCCATCTTCTTAGATTCTTCCGCAACTCTTTTTGCTCTGATGCTTTTTATCATTTCCAGTTTAGAACTCGCCAAAGGATCTTTATACACAGGTGTCTTACGCTTCCGTACTTTCACCACTTTAACTTTGATTTGCCTTTCGGCCTCTGGTTCCCTTGCAGTTTTAATTGCAGGGTTCTTCTTTCTAGGCTCTGCATTCCCACTTGGTCTTCTACGTCGCCTCTCGCCACCTTCAGGTATACCGTGATACTTTGCCAAGCCGGAGCATACCCTTTCACGGTAAGACTGACCAGAGAAACGAAACCAAACCGAGTTAATGTAAGAATAAAACATCAACACAAGTTGGTTGATCAAATCTACTTACTGGATCAGCCCATTTAGCAGCTATTGCTTCTGCAATTTTCCTTCTTTGTTCTGGAGATTTTGGTGCTCTTCTATTGCTTTTAGCTCCTCTAACGGCTTTCCTCTGCTCTACACTTTCCAGCCATTCCAGTTGATTCTGCTGATCCATGATCTTGTAAGAATCCCACTCAAACTCTTGTTCGTCTGTGTATCCTTTTTTAGCAGCTTCTGCTAAAAAGTTTTGCCACTCGAAAAGACATGTCTCTTGCACTTTTCTCATCTCCTTCAGCCTTGCCCATCGCTTCCGCACTCCCTCCCCAATCTTCAACCGTGTCTCCTCGCTGTAAAATATCATGAGAACTTGAGAAGATAACATTATGATAAACACAAAAAGAAAAAGCATAAGAAAAACCCAGTACTGACTTTTGGGCGTGTCCGAGGTTTGCTAACTTCATCTTGATCTGCAAATGTAAGAAGGCACAAAAGGTTCTATGAGGATTGAGAGAATCTGATGCATATAACAAACCTAAACGTCCTAATGGTAGAATATGTATTTTGTGTGCACCAACAATTAATATGGATACACGTCCCACTAGGGTTTACTAGGGCCAACTCCTCTAAGAAGACATATATGAACATTCTTACATGACATCACCTTTGGGTTTTGCATTGCAATCTTTGTCCTTTCTCTAATCTTCTGTAAGGTCTCTACATAAACGCAAAAGAAAAACCGATTATTATAATGTTTACCAACTAATAAGCAAGTTCAGATAGATTGCAGAGGATATTTCAAAGCAGAAACTGCCCACCAGGACTATGCTTCCTGCCTTTGTTCCAAGGAGTGTTCCCCCTATTAGCTTTGGAGATCCTCATCCTTCTCAACCTTTCTCTGTCATCCACCTCTTCTCCATCATCAGAACTTCCATTTAGACCTCTAGAGTGTTCTGAAGCATCAGAAGAAGACAGGGAAAAGCTTTGTTCGTGTTCTTTCTGAGCAGGATATTTGGTTTCAACAGTGGCCACTGCAGTGATAAAGACTCTGCATCTTCGTACATGAAGATGCCCCGTGTAAAATTTCAAACTCTTAGAGAAACTGGATTGTCTCCATGGATTAGGCAGGGTTTTAGCATGGTTAGCACTCTGAGCACCCAGTGGAACAAGATGAGCTTGCAAGGAAGGTTGGACAGTAGCAACATCTGCAAGATTAAGCATTTCAAAAGAGAAAATATACATTTATGCTCTTCACAGAAATGTAAAAGATCAAACTGAGGAAAACACTATGTAAAACGACAGACTTTTAATCATACCAAACCAAGCAACTATGAATTTGTTAAAAACAATTTTAAACATTGTTCAGACCTAATACTGCAAATGCAATGAAAAAAGCGATACCCAATAGACAAGAAACAACAGTGGAGAAGAAAGAATCTCTCTCAACAACAACACTAAAGTGGAATTCTATATAGTATTATTCATCACCGTATAAAAGTTGAGATTTTACCAGAAAAGGTACCTAAAGAAGGCATTTGGGAACTCATTCAGCTCAGGAAAAACAACAAAAGGAGGAACTCTTCTTCTTTTTTATTTTTTGCGACACGACCAGAATGTATTGTAAGATTACAACGCAGCAACAATAAATTGGTATGAGATTTATGTTCCTCTCTACTGAAAAATAGAAGCGAGGGTTTTGCAGACAGACAAGAAGGATAAGCCACACAAATAGCAAACTTCAACGAAGATACACTTATTACTGTCTGGCTTTGACGCAGCAACCAGGAGACGGTGGATAACGAGACCCGGCGTTGTCTTAAAAACCCGACCCGTATCATACAAGATCGGGCTAATGGGCCTTAACTTGCGTTAAGACACACACGTCGACGTTTAGTTTTGTGATGGGAGGGATAACGGCCACCTAATGTATCCGGGTTGTTCTGTTATGCTAACAGTTACCTGACCCGTATCACTTCTTTATTTTATCCTTAACTTCAAACGGCTTTGTATCACTGCCAATTTTAAAATGTACTGCGAGCCGGGTCGGATTTTAGGCAAGTTTACTGTTTGAACCGAGTTCGGTCGTGTATCAGTGAGGTGAGTGACTGGACTTGTCGGTGGGTTATTGCAAAGGTATGAACAATAATGAGCAAAGAAAAGAACTTTATCTATAATCGGGAAGTGAGTACAAAGAGAGTCCCTGGTGCTCGGAGAGCGTAACCGGAAATAACATACGGACTAGTCGGTAATAACGAAGTAAGTAAGGTAAGAAAACCCTAATCTGAATCGCTGCTTCGTGCTCCCCTCTTCATCTTTTATAACCAATCCTCCAACTTAAGCTTGGCCTAAGTTGGTGTATGTTAATAGGCCTTCATATTAGGCATTTTCCTGACTCGGCATAATAACTTCCTTACTCGTACGGGCGCAACTCGGGTGTCACCCGATTGACCGTTAGTCGCTGATGACTCGTCCCTTATTGGGCCGAGTATGGTTTCGTGTGGACTCTAAGGGATGGGTACAGCCCAGCTCCTACATTTACTATACGGGTCGGCGGTTCCAAATTGATCTCCGGCAACGACTGTGACGCGTCACTAATGGAGAGAGATTCTTAGCCTTCTTCATCGTCATCGCCTGATGATGAAGGCGATCACCGAAATCTTCACGAAGAATCAGATCCTCGAATCGATTGTTATCGTAAAAGTGATTTCTGTCTTCCAGCTCCGTGCGAAGTGGAGAGTCTCCGATCACTTTTAAGATGGAGTGTCAAGTTCAGTCTCACTAACATTGTTTGATTTTACTCTCTAAATTCTTTGCTGGAGTGGTCACTGACAGTAAGTACTTTTTATTATCAACTAAAGTATATAATTGATGATGATTATGATACGGTACAATTTAGAATGTAGCTATGCTTTTGTGAACGGATAAGTGGAGCTACAAATCTACTTAGTTTAGGAAACTTCCATTGACCAACTTAATCATTTGTGGATAAAGTATCAGCATAACAAAGTTTTAAACACATGTACCAAGATATTTTCGTAGTAGCTTCTCTTCTTTACCGTATTTGACATTTTTTTAAGTAACTGTGAAAGCTTTTGTGTGTCTTTTATAGTGTGGTGTTTGGTCAACCTCTGCTCATATCATAAATGGCTATGTAGCTTTCTCCTTGTTTTACTAATCACAAGAAACCAAGTTGTTTTACTCTATTCCTCAAGCTGGTGAATGAATCACTCGTCTCCACTTACTTACTGATGCAGCTGAAAGCGAAACTGGTCTGCTACAATCACTGTTGATCCTAAATGGAAAGATTGTCCCCCCGGACCCGGTGAAACAACCAGCTCGTCCTTCAGCTGGGAAATGGGATGCATTGTTGTAAAGGGGACTCACATGTAACATCTTCAGCTCGTGTTTATTGGTACCTCAAGTTCTACTTTTACAGAGGATATCCTCAGACTCAGAAGAGACTGGTGAACTGCTTTAGATTACCATGAGTATCTCCGTCAAAATAAGCAGCCTAGTTTTGTAGCCGATCATGAATAAATTAGGAAGAAAAGCTCACGTCTTGTGAGTTCTCATCATCATATATATAACAAACCATACTTAACTCTAACTCATCTGAGATTGTTATGGAAGTTTCTGAGTGATGTGTGAGTTTCTGATTGACTCTACTTATCCAAATAACTAATGATTTAATACTAAACACTAACCCTTTGTTAGTTGCTTATAATATGTCATTATCAAATCAATTCTGATCCATAATCTCAACTCAAGTAGACAATGGTTGTATATACATACATATACACATGTTATATCTGTGTTTATATAGATGTTCCATTTATTGAACCTTTTGTGTTACTATATATATCCAGGAGACGCGCTGCCGCTTCTTCGACTCGGTTTAGTCGGTCGATAATTATCTTTAAAGCTTCGATCTTGCCTTTGAATATACAAAAAAAAAATAAAAGCCAGGTCGTTTTCCCCAGATGAAAGATTGACAGAATCTCACTAAAGATCGGAGCTTTCTCAAAAGGTGTGATCATGAGAGCGAGATTGGTGGTGTTCCCGATCAAAGGGAGGAAGTGGTGTTTTAGCAGATCCGTTGATCCTTTCGCTTCTCAGACTCCGTCCGGTGTCACTCCGACTACTGTGCGAGGTTTATGGAAGAAGTTGTCATCTGAGTCGAAGCCCATCAATGCCAACGCAGAGCTTCTTGTCGATTTCATCTCTGACAAGGTTTACACTTTGAAACTCTTTGTCTTTCTATATATATATAAAGACAACACACCCGTGTGTTTATGCGGCGCGTAGTGAGGTTTATGTATCTATTAGTGTTGACAAGTTTGTGACCAATAAGCTTTTGTTTTGTTTCTGATCAAAAGAAACAAAAAGAAAACAAGAAAATGATAGTTTCTCATCAGTTTGATGAGTTGTTGTTGTGGTGATTAGATGAACAAAGCGTGGACGGGTCTTGAGAAAGCGCCTGAAGGATCAGTTAAGAACAAGATTCATGGGTTTGTAAATTTGTCTACTTTTCGTATTGAGGCTTTGGCTTTGTTCTGTGTTTTGATATGCTTATTGTTTTGAACTGTGGTTGTGGATGTGTAGGTTAGGACTGAAGCTTCTGGCTCGTGTTAAGCCGTCTGAGATTTTCTTGAAGTCTATATCTAAGGAGGTCACTTCCATTCAAGTCTCTTATCCTCTTAGGTTCTATTCTCTCCCTCTCCTTCTTGAGTATGCTCTGGTGAATTCGGATTATTGTTTACGGTTTTTAGCTAATCCGTGTCAAATGTTTCAGTTTAGATCCTAGACTTGTACGCAGGAGACTACGCCATATTGCTGTGAGGTAAGTGTTTTACCGTTTTCACATTGTCTTTTGACTGATTTTGGGTGGAGAATCTCTCATTTTTCTGATTGGATCTCTAGTGGAACAATCCTGCACAAGAAGTACCTGATTGGCTCAGTTACTTTGCTTCCATTGACAAGTGCATTTATGGTATGTACATTTAACACCTCACCAACTCGGTTTAGTTTCTTTCAAAGTCTTCATAACCAGCGAAGCCTTTGTTGTTTTGTTCAATTTAGGTATTGCCATTACCAAACATACCATTCTTCTGGGTTTTATTCCGTACATATTCCCACTGGCGAGCTCTTCAGGTCTGTGATGTCTCACTTCCCGGTAAATGCTCCCATTATCATAAAGGTTTTATAGAGACTCAAGATCACCTTTGATGTTGCAGGGAAGCGAGCAGCTGCTTAAGCTCCTCCCAAACCAAACTGATGATGCAGATGAAAGCAATAACAACAACAAGAAGCCTCAATCTCCCACATGTGTAAGCTGTTTTACTTAACAAGAATAACTCAAATGCTTTCTTCTTTTTTCTTATTTTTGTCTTTGTTTTTCATGAAACAGGTTTGGCTGCCATCAGAAGACTTTAACCAGCTACTTCGTGAAGCCAACGAGGAAGAGCTTGATGAGGAGACCATAGTAGAGATTTGCAAATTATTTCATCTCAATAAGATCGATGTTCTTAAATATCGCAATCTTGTCTAACTCTTTTTGTCATTTTAGGCTCTTTTGTTTTTTTTTTTGCTTGGTGCAATTTTTTAGATGTTTGAAGCCAACTTGCGTTCTAATTCCTTTCCGTGATTTTGTTCCTCAACACTTAAAATAGAAAATCTTTGTTACTTGGAAATAGTTAAAATTTTTAAGTTTGCACTACAAAAGGAAAATCTAACATAACAGTATGTTCCAAGAACATCAAAAGAACAAAGAAAAACAAGGAAAAAACTCGAACCAACGAGAATTTACGTTTACCTATTTATACTAGGAGCGAAGCCCCGCGCAAGCGCGGGGATATTGACTTGAGTGATTTTGTTATCTTGTGTTTCGAAAAATTGCTATAGCTGTTGGAAAATTTGTTATGGTATGATTCCTTGTAGGATATGTATTCTTCATTTACATGTTCTAGCTTTAATATATAGCCCACCGCAGACACGGAGTTGTTGACAATGGGATGTGGTGTAGTAGTTAAAAAATGTTATAGACGGTCGACACACCTGATTTGTTGATATAGTCTTAAATGGCAGTAAATTGCTTGTAAATATAATCTCGTAAAACCGATTAAACATTTACATTTGTTTCATTAATAATAAACTATTAATACTTTATAGGTTTAAAGTTTTGTAATCTTGTAAATATGGTGCCTGTGAAAAGAGTAGACGTTACTGCAAGGAATACGTCGATCCTCTATGTTTACGTGATCTATGTTTTACGAAGGCATGAGCCCCCACACGTCATCAAACATCCCATTTGCTTTTGTTGAATATTGTTATACATATCATTATCTTGGTTATTCTGTAAATAAGAGGAAAATGATAGCCCTTCTAGAGATTTAGCCTCCTACCATAACACAAATGTGCAATTATATATCCGAATGTCAGAATCATAAGAAAGTGCTAAAACCAAAACAAAATAAAATATGGTGGTTGTCTCGTCTAACTGAGGATTCCGTAAACCGCGTGGATTTCATCGTCAACATCTTATAATAATTATTTTTAGGGAAATGTATAGTAATATCAATCAAAACTTTAAGACTATATGCTACAAACTTTATTTAATCATCTATATGGCTACCCTTCCCTCACTGCTCTTTGTTGAAGTATTTGACATTGCTGCATACTATAACATCTCCAAGGGTTAACATATGTTCTCCAACTCGATCAAATCTTTTCTTCTCAATTGTTAGAGAAATAAAGAATCTTTATCTAGATTACATTCGATCTATTTATTGTGAAAAGGAAGATGTTAAGAGTTTGGGAAGTGTGGGTTTATGCTTATGTATGAATTTGCTATGACTCATAGTTTTCCCCAAGTGTATTATTTTGACGGTGGGTGCTATTAATTGTTGGTATTTTTTTTTGGAGTTCGGTGATGCCAGCAAGTCACTTGAAATCACACAACACGTTCACCTCGTACAACTGAATTTTATAATATATGGGTGGAGGCTAACTTAAAGTGTGATACATGTTTAAGAGAAATTCTAAAATTCCTAAAGGTATTAAGTATTAACCGTTGTTTAATGAACCTGAAATTTAGTGGCTATATTTGACCAATTATGTAATGTAGGAAATGCTATTTAAATATGTTAAAAACTTAGTTTATTTAGACAGTAGGAAAACAAAAGAAAACCAAACATCCTTAGAACACGGGAGGAAATGAGTTGCAAATTTCTCGTTTGCAGAGAGCCTCCATCTTCATTATTATTACAATTTTTTGCAACTTCATCATTATTGTTCCAAATTTTGTAAGAGCCTGGGTTGCAGCGTAGGTGTGAGAGTCGACTTTAGTAGACTCCTTTGTTAGTGTAGATTTAATCACTGTCTCTCTCCTTTGCAGAGCGTCCATCTTCCTTAGCTGGTGGCTTCTCAGTAGTTATTCCGGCTACAACAGGTGGACCATTTAGTAGAGTCACATCACCTGCACGTCCTTCAACCTTGCAGGTATATTAAAGGTATTGAAGGTAAGATATAAGATATATTAAAGGTGTGGAACTGACAGAGGGATTGTTATAAGATATATTAAAGGTAACTCAAACAATGTGAAGCCCACAATGGTGGATCAGTTGCATAGAATGATAAATTCAGAGAAAAAAACGACAATTGAGAGAAGGAAGACTTGACAAAAATGTTAGTTAAACTACCTTTGCTTTTCTTTGACCAAAAAAAAAAAAAAAAAAAACTAACTTTGCTTTTCATGGAGAAGGCTCCTCCAACGTGTTTACTAACACCTGCAAAGAGAGAAAATTAAATGTCAAGTATAAATTTGATAATAACAGAACTTTGTTTGTTTGCTTTAATCTTTTGACATCAGATTTCTTGTGATGTACATCTGATATGCTTCCAACGCTCAGTTAAATTATCAATCTAATAGTAAGTCGCTAATTGCTAGCATACAAAAGATAGAATTACACACTAAATCATTTCAGAAGAACTCAGCTGGATCTCTTACCATCAAATTTTGGTTCAAATCATTTACTTTTGTTACTTTGTCATCTCCATTGGCTCGATCCACCTCTTGCACTTCTTTTGGACGTAGTCCCCTTGATAGAGAGAGACCCAAATCCAGTTTTCCTGAATCGAAGACATTTTGAAGATATTGCTATAGGAACAAACAATATGAAAAGGGGGTAAACACTTGCAATGAAAAAGACTACCAAATACAGTACCTGCAATGAATCTCTTGGAACTATTTGTTCTTCTAACATCTTTTAACCTGCTTTAAAAAAAACAAAAGAAAAGCTATTGTCAGTTCAAGATTCAACCAAACAACTACAGTATAAACAATCAAACCAATAGCTCAAGACATTAGGAACGCCTCAGTTTCTTTGGGCTTAAGAACGATTTGGACTCGCAACGTCCTCTAATTTATAGATTTGAGATGGAGTAGCCGAAGAGGTGGACATCGTTACGGATTAAGACAACAATGGGGAAGTGAGGGGATGCGAGGACGAAATTAAGACAGATTTCTTTGAAGGTAAGGGATGGAAGAGTTTGAACAGAACATTGAAATCACGTCTCAGCTTTCATGTTGACGGTAGCTTCTGATGCGTGGAAATATACAAAGGAGAAAATCCTAATCAAGTCTATGGTAAAACGCTGAGTTTGGATCAGACCATCAAATAAACTAGACAACACACAAAACCGTAAAAATTAATCGAAACCAATATGCTGACGTGGCCTCATGAGGGAGAGGCAAAAACATCTAATTTATAGATTTGAGATGGAGTAGCCGAAGAGGTGGACATCGTTACGGATTAAGACAACAATGGGGAAGTGAGGGGATGCGAGGACGAAATTAANACAGATTTCTTTGAAGGTAAGGGATGGAAGAGTTTGAACAGAACATTGAAATCACGTCTCAGCTTTCATGTTGACGGTAGCTTCTGATGCGTGGAAATATACAAAGGAGAAAACCCTAATCAAGTCTATGGTAAAACGCTGAGTTTGGATCAAACTATAATTTTCGTATAACAAAAATATATGCAAATCTAAGTAAGATTCCTTATTACTTGGTCATTAATTCGTAATTGCTACTATATAGTATAAAAGTCTATATAAATGGTATTGCATTAAATGTACATTTTTCAACATGTTCATTATTAATTAATTCATGAATTGTTATTAGTCCTTATTGTGCTAAATTGATTGCGATAGTTCACTTAGCAATTATTGTAAACCTAATTATAGCAATATAGCTATAATATTTTTCTCTAAACTGTTTCATGATTAGTTTTAATCTAGGTGATATTCATTTTTACTTTTACACTTTAATTTGTAAATATTACTACTATACATTAAATGTTCGAATACAAATGTGATTTTATTTGTATTTAACTTTTATAAATATTCGTTATTAGTTAATTCCTTAAATTTTAACATTCTTTTTGTTCTAAATTACTTGTGATAGTTCATATATGCAATTATTGTGAACCACATTATATTAATTTAGTAATGCATTCCCACAAACTCCTTCGCCATTTTAATGTACATATCTTTGGAAGTTTAGTATAAAGCATATAAATATATTATGGTAATAACTCTCGCCATTTTAATTTATAAAGTTGGCAGGATCTTACACTACAAACATTAAAGCTATGTTGATAATTCAAAAAAAAAAAACAATGGCAATGGTTCAAACAGATACATGGTATATCTGAAGAAGCTAGGATTATTCGTGTATGAAAGAATTATAGTAAAAGAGACCGGAGACACTATTGAAATGGTATTTGCTGATAAAGAAGTAAGAAATGAAATCATTTTTAACTTTGCCTCTTGAACCGTTACTATTCTTATTATTAGAAAAATATTGAAATGTTTACAACCACGTTGGCAAAAGATTTCATTTCAAATCTCTTTTCTCTTCAAAAGGCTTTAATGTTGCAGTCTTCAGAGTAAATATCTGAGGGTTTTGGGGGGTTCTTCAACAACTCCTTTGTCTAACAGAAAAAGCCAATAAGAGTGAGGCAATGATGTTGAGGATCAGCACCCTAGAGAACAATTGCAATATGCTTGACTTTTTTCATATGTGGTGAGATTCTCTACAAAACTTCTGGAATGCTAAGATAAGAGTTTGCAGCATTGCCTCCAAAAACTGATTTCACATTGTTTAATATTAAAATGTTTACATCCACATTGGCAAGAGATCTCATTTCAAATATCTTTTTCTCTTCGACATTGTTTAATTGCAATTTTAAAGGAAATATCTGAGGGTTCTGGTGGTTTTTAACAACTCTTTTGTCTAAAAAAAGAAGCCTATAAGAGCGCGAGACAATGCTGTTGTGGATCAGTTCTCTGTCAACAAAAAACACTCTAAAAAAATCAAAAGCAAGTGAAGCTGGAGAAATGGAAGAAGAATCTATTCTTTTTTTGTTGAACACCAGTTCACTTACTGTTATTTCTTGGATTTGGTTTCTTATTTTATTGGCTTTAATTATTATTTATTTTCTCAAAGAAAATACTTTTTGATTAACACCTAATAAATAGTTGAAAGAA